GACGACGACGACGACGGCGGCGACGACGACAACGACACCGACGACGACACCGACGACGGCGACGGCGACGGCGACGGTGACGGCGACGGTGACGGCGTCGGCGTCGACGGTGACAACCACGACTGCGACTAAAGAGGCAGCTGAGACGAACAGAACGATAATTACGACAGATACGACGAATTCGACAGTAACGGCAGTAACAGCAAGGGCGTCAATTACGAAAAGAATAAAGTGGTGTTATTACTTCATCGTGGATATTTTACAGAAAATTTTGCATTGGTTGTGTTCAATGCAATAGTTGAGAAGTTAAATGTATAAAGAAAATACCTCAGACACAATGGATGCAGTAAGCAATGGAGCTTCAGGAAGTGCAGTGGCTTGTCCAGTCTGTACCCTCTATCTACGTGAGGGTATCAGCTTACAAAGACATTTGGATACTCATCCAAAAGAACAAGTCATTGAAGCTCTTATCAAAGCTAGTACCAATTCCTCAAATGTGCAACAGACACAGTTATCATCATCAGCACCTCCAGCATCTCCAGCTATACAATCATCCCAAAATACACCTCAAGTTGCACAGAATACTCATCTATCGGCTCAATCTCCATATCCTATAGGACCTATTTTCGAATGTCCACCTATTGGTACTGTGATGCCACCTCAGTTTGCTTCATTTAGTTATCAACAGTTTGTAAATAATGGCACTATGATGATACCACAATATGCAATGGCTCCACAAGCTAATCAAATGATGCAAATGCTGTATAATCCATATGGTATGTATCAGCAGCAACAAATACCAACTGTTCAAATGATTTCGCCAGTCACAGCCATACCAAACACCACTAGAGTCAGACCAGTGGTAACTATGGCTGGTGAAACAACTGGTAGGACTGCCATTGCTGTACCTGTAAATAATTCCGAGCCAAAACAAATTTTACCTGAGATTTTACCTGAATCAGAGCAAGAGTCTGAACAAATGTTATCAGATATCAACCTTCCAGTTTCTCCTCCATCATTAAACGAAGATAATTCTATGCAGCAAAATGAAAGTGAAACTAGTACAATTCAAATAGAGCAAGAAGGAGAGGAGCCCCTTGGTTCAAGTACAGATCAGCATACTGTGCAAGATGAATATGATAGCATTCCAAGATCATTGGCAATTACTTGTAATGTCAATGTCACTACAGATGATAAAGTTGAGAGTGTATTGCCGGATATTGATAATGGGGAATCGTCGTGCGTTGTTACTACAAATGTGCAGTGTAAGTCTATTCATTATGAATCGTCAGACATGCAGGGGTATGTACACAGATATGAAGATGACGATGATAATAATAAAGTTATTATGCCTGAAGTATCACCAATGGTAACAGAAAATGAGACAGAAAATGCAACTAATGAAAAAGTTCCTCACAGAGAAGAAATAAGCAAAAATGAAGGTACCTCAGCAGAAATGCCTGTAGAAGATACAGTAAAAGCACCAGCTCAGCCTGAAGTAGAACAATTAGAACGTCTTTTAATCACTATTATGGAAAATGAATTTAATAATACTCCACAGAAAGAATCCAATTTTGAAGATGATAAAAAGAAGAGTAAAGATACAAAGAAAAATACTTCTCCTGAAAGGGCTGAAAGTGTAATACATGAAATAACTAGTAATAATCCCATTGAATATGAAAACAGTTGTAAATCTGATGTAAAAGTAAAAGTTAATCAAAGCTCGGAAATTAATATAGGTAATGATGAAAATAAAAATTCTTGTCTTTTATACAATTATAAAAACAGTTTGTCTGCACCTCCATCACCTATTGTACAAAGAAGACCCCATAGAAGCTATTCTGTTCATTCAGATTTTAGTTCAAATGAATACCTTAATTTTTATCCAATTGGTTTTGATGCAAGCACATTGCACGATGAGGAAGATGATGAAGATGAAAAAAATGAAACAGAAGATAATTTTGATGAAGCAGATATGGAAATAGAGGAAATACCTAGCCCACATACTCCTTTCATTAAATATGATGAAAATGCAGACAATGTTAGATCTCATACTCCATTATCTGCAAGTAGTGGTATTTCTGTATTAAGAGTTAGAAAGGATCTTAGTAAACCATGTTCTCCTGCTTCTGTCCATTCATTTTGTCATATGAATGCTAATGGTATAAGCCACGATGAAGAAAGTAATGTTGCAATGGATGGATCACCAGAAAAAGATCCTATTGATTGTTCTTTAGTTGAACAAGATGTGAAAGCTGATCAGTCAGAACTTTCCTTATGCAAAAATGAGAAAAAAATGGAAGGGGATTCTGCATATCAATCTGGAATTAGTGACCATATGAGTTCGTTTTCTACAATTCATTCACAACATTCTCAGCAATCAACATTAATGGATGAATCATATAACATGCCAAGTAAAAGTAATAATCATGTAAATTTATCAGAATCTAGTGATGTCGCAAGTAGTTCTGACTCAAAGAGTTTTCATTCATCTAAATCAATTATACAAAAACAATCTGTGGAACTCCTTAGTTTAAATGAAGATGCCCATGCAGGTCCAATGAATGTGTTTGAATTTGATGGGCTTCAAATCTTAGTTCCTAGTACATTCATAAGTGATTCTTCACAAAAAGCAGTTAGTGGAACCAGCCAACAATCTATGGCAAGTAGTGAAGGTGGAATAGGTATAGATGAAGAAGTTAAAAGCATTAATATGAGAGCTGATGAAACTATGCCACCCAGAGGTGAACTATCAGAACAAGAAAGCAATGGATGTACAGAACAATCAGCTTGGCAGGTATGTAAGCTGCTCTTTGAATATAAATATATTGTTAAAATTTATTATAAATATTTCACATAAGAGTTTAATAGATTTATAAAATAACAAATGTTTTAACAAGTAATTTAAATATATACAATTAATTTAATTTATTTAATATTGAATATATTTTGTAAACAAATTTTCTATAAAAACTGATATTAAAAATTATGTTTATATTAACAAATTTATTCTGTATATTCAGTTATATGCTGGTCAAGAATCATCAAGAATGTCAACATCTTATGATCTAATGGCACGTGAAAGTTGGGAAGAATCTGATGGATCAGACAATGAAATTGGAGGCCCATTATTAGATAGCAGATCTTTAGCAACACATTTTACATCAAGTTTATTTTTAGATCGAGATAGAAAAACTCCTACAAAAAGAATGTTCAAATGTTATCATTGTCCTGAAGTATTTGATTGTCCGAAAGAACGCAGAGTACATAGTACCACCGCGCACAAAGAAGCTGGTCCGAGTAGCAGTAGAGAATCTACAGAACAACCTGAAGTAAAGGATATTAAGTTATTGGATGGCCGTATGAATGTATTTGAAGATATTTTTGTACCAGGTTTACATGTTCAACAAGTTTATCACCAGCAACCACTGTTACATCAACTTCAACCACCACAATCATGTACAGATGTAACTACAAAAGTAGAATCTGATCAAAAAATTGAAACACTAGTAATACCATCAAATATTGAAGTGATCTGCACCCTTTGCAATCAGAGATTTAATAGTGAAAAATCATTACAACTACATCATAGAAGAGTACATATTACAGAAACAACAAAACGAATTCGTGAGAGCACCAAGTGTCAGATATGTCACGAAGAATTTCCTTCGGTTCTATTGTACAATGCCCATTTAAAAATACATCCATTAGAATGTAGTCAATGTGGAAAGTATTTTTATAGAAAACAAAATTTCAAATTACACATGAAACGACATTTAGGAATTAAACCATTTCCATGTACTGTTTGTGACAAAGCATTTTTAACAAAACAGAAGTTAGATGAACATACCAATGGTCATACTGGGAATGCACCTGTTAAGTGTAATCTTTGCAATGAAACATTTCGCAGATATTCAAATCTAACACAGCACAAAAATAGACATCATTTGAATATAAAAAAGAAATTAAAAGATTACATATGTCATTGTGGTGAGGTTTTTCATACAAAGAAAAAGCTAGCTTGGCATAAAGAAACACATGATGAAAAACCCAAAGCATGTACATATTGTAACGAAAGATTCATTCACATGGCCAGCCTGACTAGACATATGCGCCGAGCTCATAATAAAAGATTCGTTCCAGATGCTCAAAGAGAGAGCGAAAATGTTGAATGTCCTGTATGTAAGTGTATTTATTTACGATCTTCCTTAGCAGTGCATATGCGAGTACATAATGGTGAAAGACCATATGAATGTCAAGTTTGCTCTAAAGCATTTAGTACTAAGTGGAACTTACAATTGCACAAATGGACTCACGCTGCCCGTAGCACCAAACCTTTCAAGTGTAATCAGTGTAGTGGCGCGTTTTACCGGCACAGTGATTATACTGCTCATATGAATTCTCATAGAAACGTGCGTCCTTATACCTGTAACTATTGCGGAGCGCAGTTCATACGAAAATATAATTGTTTAAGGCATGTAAAGGAACATGAAGAGAACAAAGCATATACATGTGATGTTTGCAACAAAACTTTTCATAGATCATATTATCTGAAAGAACACTTGCGAGTACATTCAGGTGCCAGACCATATACATGTCATATTTGTGGAAAGTCTAGCGGTACGAAATCCAATCATAACAAACATGTCAGAATTCATCATGCACGAGAACCTGTAAATACCGAAAATTAAAAAGCGAACGAGATTTTTGATCCAGTTTACTTAGTTAATATTTTTAATCATCTCACAATACTTTATTGTAACATTTTACCTCTTATTCTCCTATTTGCTGAAAATTTTTTTTTAAACTGAAGCAAACAATAATTCAGTACAAAAAAGTGATGAAATAAATGTAATACATCTATATATATTACATCTCTTAATCTTTTACAAATCTCGTTCGTTTCTGTTATTGTTTCTTAAATATTTTAATACAGAGATTTTAAACTTGAATTACTTGCTAGTATTATTACTAGCAGTATTTAACTAAATAAAGGGGTTTAACTTGCTTTAATTATAAAAAACAAGAGGACGATTTTACGTTGTATTGTGCATTGTGCATTGTGCATTGTATGTTGCACTTCGTAAATTTTCGTCATATAGTCTGCTAAATACAATGACTCGAGACTGTAACTACTTAAGATAATAAGAAATTTTTAACAAATATTAACTGGTACATGTCTGAAGATTTGAATAACTTCCATAAAGGAAGACTATACGATGAAATGCTTTTTGCCAACTTATACTAATTAACTATTAGATAATAATAACTAACTGATCAATATTATGGAATCATTAAGCACTTTTATGTGTTGGTCGTTGTACGAAATTTTTTTACAATAACTATTTTACACAAAGTATATATATTACGATTTTATGTATTGGCATCGAATGTGAGAAGGAACTGGGAGAATCGTATTTATTTGCATTGAATTTACTACGCATAAGCTCATATCAATAATTAGGATTATTAATTATCACAAGGTAGTTACGGATCTTAGTTATATTTATATATTTTGCAAAATATCTAATAATTTTTATCTCTAACTGTAATTCCAAGACTGATCGATGTTGGTTCCTCATATTGCTCTCCGACATACATATATTGAAATATATGTATGTCTTAAATGACAAGCAAGAACAATCGTGTGTGAGATTATTTGAAATATTTGGTATAGTGATACTGTGACAAATATCTTAATAGTTAATTGTTTTATATTAAAGTATTTGGCAGATCATGTATCATTTAATTTCTAGAGAGCAATATGAATGAAGAGGCGCTAATATATTAACTATATCAAAATTGTGTTACTATAATTATATTACGTTCGATGGACGTTTTGTTACGAAAGCCGGTTCCCATAAACTGTTACCGTAAATTTCAACAAAACTGCATGAAACATTTTTAAAATGGTTATACTGTTTCCATAACATATTTTGAGTTTCATCTTGTTAATAGTTATTTAACAAATTACATCTTAGTTTCGTTAATAGTTAAATATAGCAGTTTCCCAATATCGTCGATTATTAAGCGAAACTTATTTGCATGCATGACCAACATCGACGTCCAAATGTGCAATCGTTTAGTTAAACATATGTATTCTACTTGAATGCAATTGTAGATAATGTAAATATGTATATCAGTTTTATTTTATAACAGAACCGACAAATTCTGTTGGGAACTAATAATTGTCTAAAAATGACTCGTACTCTTATGAGGATAAAAATAGGCTATTAACTATTATCATAAAAAGAAACTATAAATCAACAACACCTGTATACCTTAATAAAAATTATGTATTGAGGTACTTTTTTAAATAAGTTTTTCTTTGTATTTTTATTACAAGTACCAATACCATATTTGTTTCTTGTTTGTAAATTGGAAATGTAATGTAAAAACGAATGATAAAATAAGAAAAAATATGTAAAAATATTGCAAATTGCGAATTCGATGAAAATATTTAGGACAAATGTTTTATGGATTTAAAAAAATGTAATATATTTTTCATTTGAAAAAGTAGGTAAATGAAAGATTAATTTTAAGTAAGTGTTATTTATTAAAATATAAGTGAAATTTATTTAAATGTACATACATATATGTATGTATCATGCAATTATTTGATGAATACTTCAAGAGTTAGCAAAAATGATTACTATTTATTAGAATATTTATTGATAAATTAAAGGACAAGTGTAATAATTTAAATACCATGTGTGTATACCTCCAAATATAACTCTCAGTTACTCATAGAACTTTACTAATTTTAAAGTTAAGAAGATGCGATATAAACAAAATTGGTTTTGAGTAGATGTTTTTATTCTGAAATTCAATATATTTTACATTTATAAAATCATATTCATTTAAAACATTTTTTCGAGAAAATAAGAAATTTTAGAAGAATTAAAATACTCGCTATTTTTACTTAAAATACTATAATCTATTGAATATTAGTACAAGCATAATTACAAATTAACAAAATAAAGCAAATAGTTCTATACTTAATATCAAACATTACGTTGGCAAAAATAAATATGAAACAACATCTTTTATTTTTGAGATAGATTACATTTGAAACTCTCCATATAACAGATTTCGTTTATACATATATAGCATCAATTTATATTTAAAATTTCATATATTAATTTTAATTCGGAAGAATTAAATATTAAAATGCATTCAGAAATTACAAACATCAGTAGTTTATAGCATTGATCATAATTTTTATATTACTATACTTTCACGTTGCTGTTGCTTAAAATCAGTAAAAAAATTCAGCTGTTTATTTTGACATAAAAAGGTATGAAATCAGATTTTAATTTTTAGATCTGATTTGAAACTCAATCTTTTTACAGAAAATATTAGCGAATAACATCAACGTTTTTTACGAGATTTAGAAGGTCGAATGTTCTTCTTAGCAGAATTAGAGGTTTCTGGAATTACTATACGACCTGATGCTATTTCTTCTCGCAATTCTGAATTTTCGACTTTGTTTTGAGCGTCAAGATAAAACATTAAATCCTGTACTTGCTCTTTTAAATTCGTTATTTCCGTCTGCTTTGTCTTTTGATACTCGGTCATTTCATCTTGCAGCATTTTATATTTATCTTGCCAAGAGGCTTGATTTAATTCCAATGCTTTCCTTAGTTCCTTTTCTTCAGTTAATTCTGCTTGTACTTGTACCAATTTATTACTAACTTGCTGTAGTCGTTTATCCACATTTTGTTTCTCCCGAGTCAATGTTGCTAATTGTTCCTAAAATATGTAATAAAAACAATGAACTTTCTCGTTTAATTTTCAAGAGACAAGTGGTAATAAAAATTACCTTAGTTTTGGCATTTTCTTCTGATACTTGACCCACTTTTTCTCTAAGTTCTGTAGTTTGTAATACAGAATGCTGTTCTAATCGCGCCAACCTATCCTCGAAATACTGTCGTTGAGTTTCCAACTGCGATGTTAAAAGATACGTGAATTCTAACTGTACGGAATCTACTTTTTCTTCCATTGCTGCTCCTTCAGCTTTAGTTGCTGTAGGTCCACCTTCAACCATTTTTCCATCTTTGTTTTGCAGTAATCGATGAACAAAATTATCTCCGACATAATCCCAGACTCTGTTATTTCCTAATTGCATAGCGTAACAGTGATGTGTTTCACGATAGTGCTGAAAAGCATGTCCCTGATGATATCGCGAACATCCTATATGTCCACATATTAGACAAATCCATAAAGCATCATTGCTTTCTCCAGTATCTAGGAAATATTTATACAATTTTTATTTTATTTGTGATATTTTCACTAACTTCTCTTAATTCACTTCTTTTTATCTAAAAAAATTATTGTTTACATACTACATTCCATACAGTAACTGTCTGCAAATGATTCTGGTGTTTGAGCATATCTACAAACTGGACAGGAGGTATCTCCCCATTTAGCTAAACAACTTGCATGAAATGTATGGTTGCATAATATTGTTAAAATCCCGTCAACACTTTCGTCCATTCTCTCTAAACAAACTGGACAAAGTGGTAATTCTGTGTGTCCAGATAAAGGCATAGCGTTATATGTCACTTCAACACTGTACACAAATACCATGTGACAAATAACATCTGGTTCAAAAGAATTATATGGAGTGCCATTAAAGGAACCATAAAATTCTGTTGCTGCATTCTGAAATGTTATGTAAAATGTAATGTTATAATACAGTAAAATCAGTATATGAAGAAGATTTAATTCATTAAAGATAATTACAGCAGATTTGAAGGTAATCAATGCCATATATTGATTGGGACTACCATCTCTAAGTATCCTAAAATGCCGAACATCTTGATGGCAAGGTGCTGTAAACCTTAGAAGATCATGACAGGTCATTGTAGCTGGAACTGAGAGAATGCAGATAGTTTGGGTACGTTCTGCTGCATGGTGTATATCCGTTAATTTGCTAGAATTTATTAGTATTATTACATATTATAGTACAAGACATAAATGATTGCAATTTATTATTTACATAATTAAAGGATACTCACTTTTCCTTATACAAGTGTATAATTCCTTTCGTCACTTCGACAAATGGGTTCCCAGAGATAAAATTGATTTGATCACAGGCACAGGCACTTGCACCAGCTATCTCTGAATCATCATAGGTATTTTCCTCTGAATTAGCTCTAGAGGCAGAGCTAGATTTGCTAGTTCCTTGAGAAGGAACTGCAGAGTCTTGATTCTCTGTAAGATTTGTGCAATTTTCCATGTTTATTTTGGATGGTTCTCTGCAACCCCTCATCTTAGTAGCCATTGCGCCTGGATTACGAAATCCACTGTGAATTAATCATGATACAAACAAGATATGATCTTTGTACTTTTAATAATTATTTTTTTAACAATCTTCATATATTAAATATTTGAAAGCATCTTTTAAGGTCTCAGAAAAAGCTTTTAAAAAATTAATAATATTATCCCATTTATAAAGAACAAAACGTACAAGGTAAAGAATTATGTAAATTTGAAAATGATATCTTACAAGCCTTACGTCTATTTGATCGTATATAATCAAAAAGATATAAACGTTCTTTCTAAAAAAATTTTATTTATTCTCTTTCGGATAAATATCTTATTTTCGAAGTTACATGAATTTTATAGAAAAAGGTAATAATATAAACACGACATTGTTATGACAAACAACATAACCTTAAAAGGTTTTGTAAACAAAAAGATTAACCGAAGCGATTCATTATAAAACAAGTAGTGTATAAATAAGTAATAACAATTGAATGTTACTACTCTACTTATACGATACACATAAATATTTACCATTCGATTCTTCAGAATCCTCGTCAATAATCTCGACGCGAATAACGCAGAGAGACACCGAAATAGGAGAAGAATTCATCCCATAAAATAATACTTATCGCGCATTATTACAAACAAATTTATCATTGTGATCACTATTCTTAAGTACTTTGTTAACCCTTTAAGCAACCCCCATGATTAACTAACAATGACCTTACAAGGTGTTACACCGTTTTCGATTAATAGGTTAAATTTATCTTTCACTCATTGCTCTTATATTTAATTGTCACAGAAATTATTGTAGACAGATTACATTCTGATTGTGCAAACTTATGAATACGATGAATCATGGAAAGTCACAATTTGTTGTGTAGTTCTTTTCTCTTTTCGCTTATCATTCACCAATCAAATACAATATATTCTTTCAAATCGGTAACTCCCACCTTTAAAAAGTAGTCAGTATCGCGCCATCTAATGTGCATTGTTATTATTAGAGAAAATTCCTTCTTTATTATTATGAATTATGAATCTTATAAAGTCAGTACTAATTAATAATTACATATCATTATTCAGTGTGGAAAAAATAAACATGATACAACATTGTTTTAAGAAGCGACAAAAGTTTTATTAAAGTTTTACCAAAATTTTCTAAATTATTCTTTATAATCATTATTAGGGACAATAGTATATATTCATTAAATATACAACATAATATAAATAGGCTTTACGTTTTTCTTTTTAGTAGTAGCTCTTCAATTTTTGAGCGCATATTAAAAAAAAAATTGCCGAACAGAATTATATAATTGCGCTAAGAATACTAAATTAGTGTCGTGAATAGAAAAATTTTATACAAGACTGTAAAAAATATAAAATATTAGACACCATGGATTTCGAAGAAGCCTTACATATTTTTTAATACCGAAACATGTCATTGTATAAATATAATAAAAACTCAGATAGATAACTTTGAAAGCCTAAGTCGCTATGAACCAATTTCGAATTACAATGAATCTTCTTAAAAAAATAAAAGGAGGGTAAGCGTATAATAATGTTCAAAAGTTCCAATAAAAATTGTTTTTATCGTTATAATATTACGTTATCATGCTTGTTCTTTTACGTACGATTTGAAAAATAATAATATATAATATTTCTCGTTTGATCCCGTATCAAGTATTTTATAAATAAAAAAGGACGATATGATGTTGAAAATGGCAACGTGAGTTCTCGCTCGGCATCTATATGCTAACGGCTAGGTACAAGAGAAGTAACTAGGGGGTGTTACTAGACGCGGTCGATAGACCTGATCGATAGTTTTTTTAAGACTTCCTTGTGACGCTTTCGCTCGGTCATTCATTCGTTCGTGTCCCTTCCGAGTGTGCACAATAACAATGGTTTTTCTGCTCCAAGAAACGTGGTGTCTTTTTATCCGAATAACGA